GACTTACGTGAAACGTGTTTGTAAGTGATTTCAATCACGATGAAAAACAGGGGCTATATTTTCGAGATCTGGACCCACACTTTTAATTAAGAGGTTACAAACTCCTATTAATTAAACAAAGTGCTCAATGATGAGCTGGACAGTTACATAAAATACGCGCACATTTTAGTATTGTACCCAATAGGATTTGGAATCAAATCTTAAATATATGAGTAATTTTTGATGAAGGTATATGAAAGCTAGGTTTAAGTTATTAATTTAGGTTTTTATAATTTATAAAATTATACACTTAAATTGTATACAGAGCACAACAACACCATTTAATAATTTATATATATATATATATATTTAAATTTATCAATATTCAATTCTTATAAGCTCATAACTCATTTGCTCAAAAAAAAAAAGTTCACAACTCGGCTTTCATAATCTCAGATCTCATTACTTAAGTAAAAGCCCAATCCCACCCAAAGAAGCTAATCCATAAGCCCAAAACCCAATTGACCCATTTTCATTTCCCCTTTCAGATTTTGAAAAAGTACAATTTTCCCATAGGCCTCTCAATTTATTTAATTTTTAAAATTAAATTTTTATTTTTGGCCCCAAAACTCATCCCATTTTCCAGTCTCTTTTCGGCGGCACACGCACAGCCCATTTCCCACACTCTTCTCTTCTTCCCGCCCCACCCTCCACCTCGACCCCAAGCCCCGCCCGTCGTTCCCACTCCTGCCTTCATCCCTACCCCTTTCTTGAGCTCCCTACTCTTTTCGTTGTCTTCCTACCGTCAGCAACGACTGGGAGGTTTTGAGGTCTCCATGCCGTTGCCTTCCACTTGAAGAAGATCAAATCCTAGTGTTTGTGAGGTTACTGCAGTTTCTCAAACCCAAAACCCTAACAATTTTCTTATTATCCATCAATCATTCTAGTAAGATTCCTTATACTTTTCTGGTAATGATTTTTGGAGGTGAAAATGAACGGGTTTTGGATTTCTACTTTGGATCTCGGTATGTGGCAAAACTGGATAGACAAGCAAAATATTATTAGGTGAGAATTAGATCTTGAAACCTATCATTCCTTTGTTAATTATTTTTTTCTCGTTGGGGTTTGGTTGTGGAATGCATTCGTTTTTGTTGCAACCTAACAGGAAAAATCCCCTGTTGAATTCAGTCTTAGGTATCATCGTTGGTCTCACATCCCTCACCATTGTCAATCGCGAGGTTCTTCTCCAATGTTGCGATGCTGCCACTGAGAAAATGCAAACATGTTGCTCATTTTTTCCCTTTCCTCTTCTGTCCCATTTTTACGTTTATATTGTTTATAACGCTTGATGTATTTTCCGGAGATATTTGCAACTGAAATAGTTATTGGCACTCAATTTGCTCTAGATGCTGTTCTGTGTTGTTGGACTTTGCTAGACATTCCTAATCGTTAGTTGTTGTTTTTGTTAATAAGTTTGGCTTTCTCTTGATCTGAGAAGGCTCACAAAAAGATAGTCCATCTGCATCCTTTTTTCATTGAATCCTTGGTGCACTGTGCAAAGATGTGGACATCAACTTCAAACAAATCGGTATTTCATGGTTAATAGTGAGAGGAGTTTATGCTGCAGCCACAAAGGCAACAAATTGGTTTTTCTGGCTGCCTGTTGATACATTCATCTTATCATCATCTTATTTTAATATGTGTCACAGTCTGTTAATTCATGTTTATAACTATAAAAAATAGATAATGACCATTATAAATGCATTTAAATGTTCATAGACGAATATTTATACCTTGTTGGAGAAGCTTCCCTTGCAACTCACATAGGGAGGCACCATCTTGTTACTCTTACATTAGTTATTTTCTTTTCTCTAAAACTAAGCCTGCATCTCCAAGCAGCTTGAGAAGAAAAGTTTCTGCCTCCTTTGCTTAGCATCATAGGCCTATCGAACCAAATCGTTGTGCCACCCAGCCTGTACCCTTGAATAATCACAGTAACTTAGCTGAGTTAAAGCTTGCTTTTTTGCCCAATTTGAATCTTCGGGAATTCTATGTTGCTTTGTCCTGCTTTGTATGTGTGAGTGTATGTATAGTACATTAACATAAAACATGATGGGTTTGGATGATGGGCTTCCACGGAAAGACACATTCAAAAATATCTCTTTGTTTCACGGGAGACAAATGAACCACTTTATTGATTGTTTTTAGTTATTTGTTGAAATTGAATTGACTCTCATCATTGACCCATCATTTCTAATGCATCTTTTTAATAAATTTGTATATAGGAGAGTTTAAGTGTAATTTTACCTTAAACGAATAATCGATTAGGACTTGAGATTGCAGACTGCTATCTCTCTCTTTTGCATCTCCAAGAGAAATTCTTAGTTCATGGAATGCTAGAGGCTCATCGGCAAATTCCACGAATCCACATGTTTTCCAGATAACAAAGTTGTTTTTAAGGCTAGCTAAATGTTTTCCACATGGATGCTTAGTTGTCAAAATAATCCAAGTGTTCACCATGTCAGCACCCTCTCAGAATTAAAAAAATGTTACATCTCGCTTTGAATTAAAAAATGTTTGAGGATGTAAAATTATAAAATATTTAAAATAACTGTCATTAAAATATTTTTTATTATTTAATTTTTTAAAATATTTCAACATATATGTAATAAAAAAAATTAATATATTCAATTTTGGTTTCTCCCATATATTATGGATATTTTATTTTAATGATTTAGCATTATCATTGAAAATATTGAAAATATTAATATAGTATAATTTTTTTCATTATAATATTTAATTTAATTTTAAACATAATATATTTTGATACAAGTGTAATAGCATTTTAGTCATTCATATAGTTGCTTATTTCCTTTCCTTTTTGTTTTCTTTTATTCATCTAAACACTAAAGATGATAATATTCTCTCTTCAGTTTTATCTTTTCTGTATTTTCTCTCCTCCAATTTTCTTTCCTCCCAATTTTTCTTTAGTAGTGACCCATTTAGAAGAAATTCTTACAGATTGTTTTTTATATTTAGAAAATCGACTAAAAAGTTTTCTACTAGAAAATTAATTGTAGTTAGTGTCTAGGAATCAGTTTTTTGGGTGGATGTAATTCTTTTTTAATTGTGTACAAATTATTTTTTGAATATGTGAAAATGTCTATAGTTAAAGATAAGTTTAGTCTTAAATTTGAATTTTATAGATAAAAAATTATGTTAAAATATTTTTCCTCAGGTGGGCACCCAAATTAGTTTAAACTTAAATTTAAAGTAGCTCCTTTTTTTTTCTAAATTAAATAAACGGCAAACATAGCATTCTGTAGCTTATTAGTATCATTATTGAGCGGCTTTGGTTTTCTAACTAATAATTATGAATAGATACTGTTGTGAAAAAGACTCACATGAAACAACAGATTGAAGAGAGAATGACATTTCAGCATTCTTTTTTAAAACTTTAATTACATCAAAACATGGTAAATTCTTTAAAAAAAAAGGGGGGGGGGTTAGGTCCTTAGTAGGAAATAAATTTTTCGAGTGTACAAAATTGCCTCTCTACACTAGTATCAACACTTTCAAAATCATCATCCCTAGCGTCAGCCCTCACTAATTTTTTGGTCAAATTGTTAGTTTTCATAGAATTTTTAATTTTAGTTTCTGTAATTTAAAATCATATTTTTTTAGTCACTATAACTTTATAAGGATATGGTCTGAGTTTACGCAGCTAAATATGAAGATCACAACATGAATTTATTAAAAATATAAGAACCAAAATCAAAACTTATTAAAAGTATAGGAATCATATGAATTTTGATTTTATTTCCTTTAAGTACAAAGCTTGAGATTTGATTCCTATACTTTGTGATATTAACTCAAACCAAGTATTTATGAAACTATGGGAATGAAAAACCATGACTTAAAACTGTAGAAACTAAAGTCCAAAATTCAATCAAATAGCAAGGACCAACAATAATATTAACTTTTAATTTTTCTAGTATTTATTTATTTTTATAATACTTCACTTTGATTTTAGTGTCAATTATAGAGTTCATTTCTTCAAAACTCATTCTTAATTTTTTTAATACTCACCTTTAATTGTCTTAATATTTATTTTTTATGCACTCCAATGAAAATAGATTTTGTTATGTCGATCATAACAATATTGGTTGTCCCCATTAACATGAAGCATCATATGACGGCGAAGTAATATAGAATATATGAAAGTTCGGGTTTTGTTGATGACGATGACTTTAATTTCTAAAGCTTATATTACCTCCAATCCTTAATATAAGAGTTTATTAAACTTTTAATTAGTCTTAAATATAAGAACTTAATCCACCTTATCTCGCTCATATTTATCCTTTTTTTTCTTCAAAATAGTCATTATAGTAGTTGTACATGTTAAATACTCTATCGAATGATAGTTTTAGCTAATATACATGATTAGGAAGAGTATTTTAGAAAATATAACACATATTTAATATAAATAACTAACTTAACAAACTTCTTTAATCTAATCAAATTAATCAACTAGCTCTTATATTAAGGATCAGGATAGTATATAATAATTTATCTATTATTATTATCATTATAGGAGGAATGAGCATATATGAAGTAATTATATTGACAAAATCAGCAAGCTAAATCTGCAATTAACGTGTCCCTCCACATAGCCATGAGAAAATGACATCTGAGGGGGACCTACTGGAGCCTATTTGTAAGTATGCAAGCTGTCAATATGCATGACCACACAACGCTAATGCCAGTTTTACTGGCAAGGAACAACCGTGCTTAACAAGAGCATCCATGACAAATTTTGAACGTCCATTGTGGAGGAAAATTCATATATATGTTTGCTAACTTTGTTTTCTCTGCTAATATAAACCAGTACATCAATGTCTTTTGATGGGATAACCCCCGATGTAATTCATGCTGCAAACTCCTCCGGGAATACCAGAATTTCGTTTAACTAGGATGTAGCCATTGAGTCCCCACTGGGGTCCCCATGAATTTTTGATTATCTAGTAGTCTATTCCCCATGAATTTTTGATTATCCAGTAGTCTATTCCATCTTCAGTTGAACCGTATCCAACCGCTAGCATATCATGATTAGGTTTTCTGAACCCTCTGCATTCATCTCCTCTAAAGATTCCCTGCCAACAAAAATAAGAAAACAAGTTTTCAAATGTGTTCTATGGTAAAGTGGGTCAATGAAAAAGAATTACATTTGTATACTCTTGAAATTCTTTTCCAGCATAAATTGAGACGCACACTGGTTGCTTAGCAACCAGACATCGAAGGGCACTATCGGCTCCATAAACCAGCTATGACAGTCATCGATTGTGATGCATTTTTTTTCCAATGGTAGTGCTTAATTAGACTAACTGGGTAACTGGGTACATGAACACATGTATATTTTCAGGATCTTATTTTATTTTTATTTTTTTTCCCAGGAAAAAAAATAAAAATAAAATAAGATCCTGAAAATATACATGTGTTCATGTACCCAGTTACCCAGTTAGTCTAATTAAGCACTACCATTGAGGAATAGCAAGGACCGTCTTCTGCGGTGTAAGGATAATCACTCTCTAATGCAATGCCACCGTTCTTTATGACATACTTAAATGCTCTAATAAAGCACCTTCCATCGCAGCCATTGCAGGTCTCATCACAAGATACTAACTGCTGCGCAGAAAGATCCAGAAGCGACTGTGAAGATATTTGGTGGATTCCTTCTATGGCTCCAACAGCAGCGAAAGCCCAACAAGCACCTAGAAAAATGAAACTAATTTTTTGTATTATATGCTAGAATTAAGTTGCATATAATAAAAACTAACATTACCAATTTAAACTTACCACAATCTAGGCCTTGGTCTTTAACTTCAGAAACAGCTCCTCTCGTCCCCCAGTCAATGGCAGAGGGAGCATCCGGACATGATATGTCATCTAATTCCATCATTTTCTTCGCGGGATTGCCTCGCATTTCGTTATTAAATGCCCAGCAAACATCTATTCTGAGTTGCAATAGGTTTTTATGACTTATATCAATAATGTAAAAGTATAAACTATATATGTATTGTGCTCAGGTCAACTTGGCTTTTAAGAGAAGAAAAATGACATACAAGCAATTCTTCTCCACAGTGATAGCAAATCAACAAAGAAGTGCATGCACGATGAAGAACGCTACTTGAGCTAGTATGTATAATTATCAGGATTTTCATTCTTTTTTTCATATTCTAGCTTCTATTAGTTCAAGTTGCTTTTCTTGTGTGGAATTTCACTAATATTGTGTATACAACCATAAATATAGGATTTCAGGCATATTTGGAGAGTGGATCAAATTCAGAAAGCCACACCGAGATCCGGTTACTTTGGTGAACTCAGATCTGTTGTCTCATAGCAAATGCCCACGGGAGGAAGAACAGAGAGGGGAGGGAGGAGTAGTTCTCAGGCGGTTTGTTACTATGTCTTCAAAAAATGAGAAAACCACTTCCACATACCCATCCACTTTACAATAACTATTTCCTCACCTTTTCAATTTAAACAAAAAATTGAAATTCACAATTGAAGACCCAAATGTCCTATTATTTACATCAGAGTCCAATGTTAATGGGCTTGGATCCAATCCACCAAGGGTAGACTAGCTCATTTTCCTACATCTCCCACTCACACTTGGTAGATTAGATGTCGTGGATCTACTCTCTCTCTCTCCCCCCTCAATTTCATACTTAGTGCTTTGCCGTGATCGCATGGGCATGACGTCTTCACTTAGGTGCCTATACTAGAAATCCTTTTATAGGACCAGCATAAGCACCCTCTCCTTCGTGTAACTTGAATTTTAAAATTATGCCTCAGATGTCCCAGATTTACCTATATTCACTTTTTCATGGCAAATCTAATCCCTCTCGAGTCAATGTTTGATCCAGATTACCTTTTTTGTATGTCTAGTGTCTATACTTACGACAACAAAATGTCATAAAAGACATGTCGTAGACACTAGCATAGATGTGTATATCGCAGTTAACCTTTCTTTCGCCCAAATATCACTTTGATATGAATCAATTGCTTTCTTAGTATAATACCTTACATCGCATCTATCATGACTGTAGGAAACATGCTAAAGTAGTAGTCACTGAAACATATCTTTGTGATATTGTCAAAGTCAAAGGATATTATTGGGAGGATTGTTCCTTCCTTGGGACTCACATAGCAACGAAGCAAAGATCTTTCACTTGCTTCCCTTTTGCGGTTCTCCTAGCACATGTGGTATGAAATATATGTTATGGTGTTACTCTTTTACTACAAGAGCATATGTCGTTTTGGACTTATCATTAACACCATACAGATTTAAGTCCAGACACACTCAGTATCTAAACTCAAATTCTTCAACTTTGTTCATATATACAACTTCGACGTTGAAGAGTTTGTTATCTGGTTACAAATATTATAGAAGTGGGATTCCAAGCTTCGATCCAACTTTATTTATGTGGATCTCATCTTGACTTGCTACACTTTAGTCAAGACAATATACAATTTGTGTTTCTTTCTTACCATATCAGCACTCTCTGCTACTTTTGCTGGTGAACAGAAATATCTCGTCTTTGCTCACTCCACTTGAGCGTCAAAGGCGGTTGCCCATGTGAAAGAGCCAACCTTTTTAACCTGTATGACATACTAGACATTATATACTTTCAGACAGATACATAAATTGATGACAAAAAAAAATATAATTTCATTAATTATAAAAGCATATTATATAGGGTCTACATATTACACTTTACGCATACTAAGGGCTTCCACATGTTTTTTAAAAAAAATTTCTCGCCTATTGGCTTTATCAAGGGGTCTACTATCATACATTTGGCTGAAATGTATTGTACAGTAACAATATTTTGTGCTATATAATCTCTAACAAAATTATACTTGATGTCAATATGCTTGGTCTTGCTGTGATACTTGGGGTCTTTGGTATAGGCTATGACTGCAGTATTGTCACAGTATACTAACACTAGATTGGTACTCTCGTTTTCAAATCTAAGGTGTTCTATAAATCTTTTTAGCCATAAAACATCTTGCACTACTGCAATGCATGCCACAAACTTAGCTTCTATTGAATATAAGGCAATGCACGTTTGCTTCTTGCTGCTCCAACATATGGCGCCATTGTTTAGCAAGAATGTATAACCTGAAGTTGACCTTCATTCTTCTTCATCTCTGCCTACATCAGCATCAGAGTACCCGACAAGGCACAAATCGCTTCCTTCCCAGCACAATGCATAATTAGAAGTTCCCTTTAAGTATCTCAAGATCCTCTTCACTACTTTCCAATGCTTTTCACCGGGGTTAGACTGCGATCTACTTACCAATCCCACTGCATAACGGATATCTGGTCTGGTACATATTATTACGCACATCAGACTCCTAACAGCACTGGCATATGGAACTCTTTCCATCTTCTTTTTCTCAGACTCGATTTTGGGACACATGTCAGGACTCAACCCTACTCCAATAGCAACCGAGGTATTCATGAGATTACAATCTTTCATGTTGAATCACTCAAGAATCTTGTTGATGTAATTCTCTTCCGAAAGAGAGAGAATTCATTTTGAATGATTTCTTTGGATCTTAACTCCAAGTATATACTCTGCTTTACCCATATCTTTCATCTTAAAATTCGATAAAAGCCATTCTTTAATAGCTACTACAAATCTAGACTATTTCCAGCCAATAGTATATCATTTACATATAAGAATGATATGAAAAAAAATACCCTCAAACCACTTAATATAGATGCAATGGTCTTCCTCTATCATTTGGAAGTCATATAAAGTTATTGCTTTGTGAAATCTTAAATACCACTGTAACACCCCGAATTTTATGACTTAGGATGAGCAGAAAAGAGAAAATTTATTAAAATTATTTATTTGCCAAATAAATTGGGGGAAAATTATGGAATATTGATTTTTAAGGTTTAGAGACATTTTGAAAAAGGTATTTTCCCCAAAAATGGCTTACATAATTTTAATAGATAATTTTAAGAGAAAAATGGTTTATCTTCTCTGAAAATTATGGAAAAATAGTTAGAGATTTATATTTAATCTGAAAATTTTAGGATAATCATTTGGGATAGTAAAGAAGATAGTTGAGGTATAAAATCCTTAAAATGGGTTAAGGATTAATTTTTGAAATTAGGAGCTATTTTCTTGAAAATTTCATAAAAATAGTCAGGAATTGACTTTTGATCTGAAATTCTTAGGAAAATTATTTTATGGGTCAAAGAAGCTAATGGATAAGAAAAATACATTTATGATATTTTGGTTTAATTTCTGGATATATCTTATATTTCAGAAAAATAGGAGAAGGATAAGATTGGAGGAATAATTATATTGGAGGGCAAAATGGTCCAGAAACTTTGTAATACACGTGCTGCCTTCTCTTCAAGCCATCTGAATCCCTTCTCCATTAAACAGCTGATCACCCATGCATTTTAATTCATTTCGTCGGTGTTCAAAAGAAAAGAGAGAGAGACGAGAGAAATAGAGACAGACCGAGAGGAGGAGGAGGTCGGCGACGGAGGAATTGATCAGAGGGTTTTCTCCTGCATGCAACCTTCGATTTCAACTAAGGTGAGCCTCCTGAACTTCCTTCCACTCTTGTTTTCTCCAGTCTGTGGCTTAATAAGGTGCAACGGTTGACTGACAGAATTTGGTTAGTGAGTAAAACTTCCGATTAAAGCTGAAAATTTATGACGATGAAAGAGTAGAGCTTGTTGATGATAATGGAACGTGTTTTTCGTCTTGCATGTATGGTTTTTTTTTTTTGTCCTAGTTCTGGGTTTAATGAATCAAGGAAATGGCATCTGATTTCTGCTAGTGTTGAGGTGTCAGATTGTGCGGGTTTGAAGGAGAAAATATGTACGCATATATTAATCGGCTTGCATGTAGGTTCCTTGCTCTGTTTTTGACTTACCGAAATAGGGGTTAAGTTTTGAAGTGTTGGGTGTCGGGTTCTGACAGTAAAGAAGTAGTGAACACAACTGTATAAATTTTCTAGATTGCATGTGCTGTTGCTCTGGTTTGTAGGTACCGAGACAGGGGCTGTTATCTTCTTGAAGCCGCTGGTTTAGTTTTGGGATAATGGAGAGATATGAAACTCTTAAATACCAGAGTAACCGAGCTGTACAAATAGATATAAATATATACACACACACATACGGATGCCACGCTGCTTGGAATGAGGTTTTAGAAGAGGGGTGTGGGTGTGCAAATAAATATATATGAATTCAATTGTTGTGAATGTTGACCGTGGACATTGAGAGTAGGTGCGTGTTGTTATTGCCATGAAGAGAGATAGGAAAATGAGTTAGAAAGCTATACTTGTGTGTGTGTGTGTGTGTGTTTGTTAGTGACTTCCGGTACGGGGGTTTGTTACTTCTGGATGTATGATTTTGGGTTCCTTAAATATTCAGATTAATGAGGATCATAGAGGTTAAAGGTGTGAACCGTGAGAATTATGGAAATTGTGAACGGTTGAAGTCTATTTCCAAATCTGAAAATTCTTTTTGAGATTTAAGGTATAAGGCTAATTAAAGATGTATTGGAAATAGAATATTTGTGTGCTAGGACTTAGAAGATTATGGAGATCATGGCTGGAAATAATTCCCATTGATATTTTCTGGGCAAAATATTGTCCTAATTATTCTATCACGCTTGGGGATTAAGGAATAATTAGTGAATCAATTTTATTAAAGTCTGGAAATTTGCTGGAGAAGGAGAAAAGCCATGGAGTTTAATGGAAAGAACGATTAAGAACATAAAGAATAATTATACATGTGTGTGGCTGTTCGATTGTGATATGAAGAATGACTTTGGAAGCTTAGTGTTGATGTGGAAATGTCATTTAAATAATTAAATTAGAGTGCAGCTTTAGAACTTTGATAGTCAAAATTTATTGCGAGGAGAACCATGCGTGGTTTATTCTTAA